GTAAAAATGCGTTCTTTACATCCAATTGTCTTAATTGCCAAAAATGCATAGCAGCTAAGCTAAGAATAAGCCGTACAGTCGTGTGTCTAACAACAGGGCTGAAGGTTTCTGAATAATCGAATCCCTGAGTTTGACTAAAGCCTTGAGCCACTAGCCGAGCTTTGTACCTAGACACATTTCCATCTGAATTTCTTTTCACCTTGTAAATCCACTTGCTACCAACTATATTCACACCAGGAGGAGGAGGAACCAGTGTCCAAGTACCCTGGGTATTTAAAGCTGAGATTTCCTCTTGCATAGCAGTGACCCACTCAGGAGAATACCAAGCAACTTTATAACTAGATGGTTCATCCAGTTCAGGCAGAGCAAGTAAACTAGTGTGATAACACTCATAATCTGTAAAATCTTTTCTTTTAGTGACACCAGACTTTGATCTGGTTTGCATAGAATGGTGATTAGTAGGAGAGATATCTGAAGCACTAGAGGAATCAAGACTAGGAAACAACACATCCAATTGTTGATGAGTAAGAGCTGGCAGAACAGTGGAAATTGGCTCTTGATCATGAACAGCAGATGGAGAAGAGAAGTGTGATGTTCTTGGGCCTAAGGGAGAAGACACAGAGGCAATAGGAATAGGAGGAATGGCTGGAGGATCAGATAACGGAGGAGGAACATCTGCATGAGACAGTATAGGTAAAACAACAGAGATGGGTGCACTAGAGGTTGATGCAACCGAAGATGAAGATGAGCCTAAAACAGGGACGCCTTGTTTAAAAGGAAACATGCCTTCATCATGAACAACATCCCGAGACACAAGCAACTTGGCAGTAGACATATTGAAACAAAGAATGCCTTTATATCCCATGAGGTAGCCTAGGAAAACACATAATGTAGTTCGAGCCTGAAGCTTGTTTTGATTGATGGATCTGAAACAGGGATACACAGCAGTACCAAAAATCAGTAAATGTTGAACATCTGGGTGTTGATGAAATAACCGAAAATAAGGAGACTTGTGATCAAGAACTTTGCTAGGCATGTGATTGATAAGATATATAGAGTGAGATATAGCATGAAACCAAAAGTGTTGAGGAAGAGACGCCTCTGACAATAAGGTAATTGCAGTCTCAACCAGATGTCTGTTCTTCCTTTCGGCTAAACCATTTTGTTGAGGTTTGTAAGGACAAGAAAACTGATGCACGATGCCTTTGGAACTGAGAAACTCATGAAATCGATTGCTAACATATTCACCACCCCCATCACTCTGAAAGTACTTAATAACTGCTGAGAATTGATTCACCACAAAAGCATAAAACTTCAGAAAGTGAGAGAACACCTCTGATTTTGCAAACATTGGATAGATCCAAGAGAAACCAGTGAACTCATCAATGAAAGTAACAATGTATCGATATCCTTGAAAAGATTTACAAGGGGATGGTCCCCATACATCGCTATGAATCCGATGAAAGGGAGTTACAGCTTTATTATGATGAGTAGGAAATGGTAAACTATGCATTTTGCCACTCAAACAATATTGGCAAATGTGAGGGTAAGAATCGACTATGTGAGGTAAGCTAGCAGACTTAAGCATACTATGAACCACTTCATTAGTAGGATGTCCTAACCTACTGTGCCACAAGGAGAACTTGACCTGTTGTCCAAGATAAGCCACTTCATGAGAAGCAGCTTTATTAGGAGGTAAGGAGAAAGCAGCACACCAGGAATCAGATAGAGGCCACTATGACTCCTCCCTGTGAGCAGCACCTGTTTGGTGACCTTGTCCTGTATAGAAAACCCAAACTGATCAAATATCATAGAGCAATTGTTCTCCTTACAAAGCTGATGCACAGACATCAAATTAGCAGTGAGTTTAGGGACATGGAACACATTAGACATGTGTAAAACAGAAGAGGAACTAGAAACGGAGGCATGACCAATATGAGCAACAGGCAAACCTTCCCCATTGCCAACTGTTACTCTATTCTCAGAAGCACAAGGCTGAGCAGACTCCAAAGTATTGACATTTGACACCATATGATGGCTAGCACCATTGTCTGCAATCCACAGAGTCTCAGGAGCATAGGAGACTTGAGCAGTCATAGCATTGAGAGTAGGTGGTGGAGGAGAGCCTTGATAGACATAATTTGAGCGATGATAACAATCAAGAGCACCATGGCCACGTTTGCCACAAATCTGGCACTCCACCACAGAAGAGGAAGGAGATGATGTAGAGGAAGGGTTGCGATAAAAGAAATTCACAGCAGTATGACCACGCTTAGAGCAGATTTGACATTCAGGTGTGATACCAGACCTAGGAAAACCACCGGATGGCCTCGGAGCAAAATAACCACCACGATTGGTAGGACGATGATTAGGAAACCTCCCACGACCAAAATTCTGAGAAGAAGGCCCATAGGCTGGAGAAGGGGTAGCCTGAAAACCGGAGGGAGTAGAAACAGAAGGCGGTGTAGGAAGAATACCAGCCCCTGGAGTTGGAGACATCGATGAACTATGGCCAATCATTGCCGTCATAGGAGAAATAAGAGAGGAAGGACGTGACTCAGCAGCCTGTTCAGCAGCAAGGAGCTGCGTACGAAAATCCTTGAGAGAAACAGGTGTCTCACGAGCAACAAGCACAGTTCTAATCATATCATAATCGGAAGGTAAACCGTTCAAGACTGAAATCATAAGGTCATCATCAGAAATGGACACACCAGCAAGTGCAAGCTGATCACGCACATGCTTAAGACGAAGCAGAAACTTTTCAATGGAATCTGCCCCTTTCTGTGCAGTCTGAAGCTCTGTTTTGAGAAAATTGAGACGAGCTCGAGAGACAGTAGCATATCGATCGGTAAGACTGAGCCAAGCATCACGAGCGGTTTTGCTTTCGATAACGTACTCGATCGCGTCATTAGACAGAGTTGCAATTAGGAGACTGAGAAGCGCTTTGTCAAGCTTAAGCCAGTTCTTGTAGGCAGCCGTAACCTCAGAAGTGGCTACTTCTTCCTTCACAAAGGCAAATTTTGGAGGAGGAACACCGGAGCCCTCGAAGTGACCACAGAGCGAGCTCATGTCCTTCAAGAACTGATTCAATTTGATACCGCCACTTCATGAAGTTATCATCATTGAGGCGAATCGTAATCAATCCAAGGAGACCATCAACCTTGAGAGAAGAAGCCATAGCTGAAAGTTTGAGGAAGAGACGAAAACGAAAGGTTTTGCAGATTTGCAATTGAAGAAAATTAGGGTTTGCAGAGGGTAGAATTGGGGAAAAAATGAAGAAGAAGATTAGAAATTAAGTTTGGCAGAGATTAGAAGTGGAGAAGAGGAAGAAGAAGACCAGAGCAAGAAGGCGGAAGACAGAGAACTCAGGAAGATCGATAAGGCGTGAGCCACCAAGGGCGCTGATACCATGCTAACAGTATAGAAAATAGAGAGAAGAACAGAATAATACTTGAGAGAAAACCAGAGGAGTAAACTCAGAAAAATGTTATTAAGAAGAAGATTACAGAGATATGTAGCCACTCAGACTTTATATATAGCAGAGCTGTGCTTAATCTCTAAGTAAGCTCTGTAACTAACTCACATGTATATTACAGCTGTTACAGCTGTGAGCTAGATTGCCAAGACACTGGATTTGAACCAATGAAAACTACAAAGCCTGTTGTAGATCTGCGAGTCTTCTTATTTTGGTAAACAGAAGAAACCATGGTTCCGAGCCCAGCTGAGGAACTTCACGGTTAGGGGCTGGTCGAATTGGGACTTGAGAGTAAATAGAAGGCTGCCTCAAGGGTAAAACAGGAAGAGAGAGAAGTGAGGTTGTGGGGATGGCGTTTGAGGTATGCGATTGCTCTTTCTGCCAGCAGTGTGTCGGAAGGAGCACAGGGGAAGGAAGATGGCTTGTGAATATGAGGTTTCATTCGGAATTGAATAAATTAGAGGTTTATCAGAAGCACAGCGAGAAGTAGAACGGACTACGGAGAAGACGAAAATTACAAGATTTTTCAATTTCAGGCCCTGCTAAGGTTCGGTTCCATGGGCTGAAACCAGCTGTGGACTTTGCTCAATCCCCGCAGCTGGGCTTGGACATGGGTCCATTAGAGATGTTTTTTTTTTCCACTCAAGCAAGAAAATGCTTGCCTCTTAGAAACTTATGTTTCATGCCAATCACAATTTAACATGTGTATATAATTTTTTCTTATATTTGTAATGAAAGATTTCTTTAAATTGTGATTTACATAAAGAAAGAACATCTTCGTCAAAAGCAATCATGGTATACTGCTCCCTCTTTATACGGATTAATATATAAAATAGCCGTATGATCTTTAATATTATTGTGCATATTTTGATGATAACAAATTGTTCCTTATTTATCTAATGTATTTCAAGTGTGATAAGTTGTAAGGAGCATGTATTCTCAAATGGATCAAAAATATTGTACACATTGGATTACTTTTGGAGCATTGAAGCAAAAAATCGATACTCAAGCAAATATTTCTTCAATACAGAAGAGTTAGGTTATTTTTGTAAAACTCTTTGTGAATTGAACATCTAAGGCTCTTTACCTAGATTGACCTTAGGCTCCTTCATGCATTCATATCATAATATATAAAAAGATGTCTTCAGTGTAGAACTTATAATGTCATCCTCTTCTTCTTCCTTTCTATTTTTATTTCCACTTATTTTTCATGTTCTTCATGTCAACTGAACATAGACCTTCATTTTTTCCCCTTTTATTCCTGACTTTGGTGCCAAGGGAGGATCTATGTATGGGCACTCTAGCCCAGTGCCCTTTAACAAATAGTGAGTCAGTGTACCTTTTAAGTGCAAAAATCTACACCAATGAAACAGATGAGTGCAAAAATCTTAAAAGTTAAACAGTAACTTGTTCAGTTCACTTTCTTCTTTTCGGTCGAATTGTGTTCCCTTTCTACTCGACATCTTTGACAAAAAAATTTATGACATCTAAAGTACGTAGCACTCACTACCTTGGATGGATGCTTTTGCTAAATGATGTTACCTTTCGGTGCATGGAAACAGTCAATTCGCCCATATTTTTGTTGTAGGTGATTTAAAATGAATTTTACGAATTTAAGTTCAATTTACTAAAATATTTAAGGAGTTTGTGTTAAAATATCCTTTTTTCACAATTTTTATTTTATAACAGCTCCTGCCTTATTTTGGTCGAAAAAGCCCATCCAAACTCCAAAGGGCTAATAAAAAGAGCTCGATTACCAAACCGAAAGGACAAACCTCTGGTCTGTCAAAATCTTTCTTTTTCGTTTTTGTTTTTTTTGCTCTCAGGAGACTTTTGTACGTGCAATGGATGCCACATATCTTTCTAGAGCATCTACTGTTTTTTTTTTTGTCAAGTATCTAGCGCACCTACTTGTACTGGATGCAAAAAAACAAAAACAAAAAAGGTTCTTAATTTGGAATTATTGAATATAAAAAGCATCTACTGTTTGGCAGGTTGTCTTCCATCTTTTCTTTTTCACGTGTCGCTAAATCTCTCTCTCTCTCTCTCTCTCTCTCTCAAATTAAAAATATCTTATTTAATAATTAAAGTCTAAATATGGTTATGGTCAGGTTTTCAAACTCATTGCCATATCATAGAGAAAGGTGAGAAACTTTCTTGATCAGGTTTTCAGGGCAACATAACAACATTCCCTTTGAAATCAAAAGAAGAATTTATTCGAGGGGAAATGAGAGATATTTTGTTCCACCACACACAATTATTTGATTTTTGCATTCAAAAGAATCAGTGGAGTTATAGAAATTCTTAACTTTGCTGCTACTATTGACTATTGAGAAAGAAAATATATAGGCCTATAATTTATAACATATTCGAATATAGTACTTCTTCCGAAAAACTAATCTTAAAAGCACATTTTGATTCATTAATTGGAAATAGTAATACTAATATCAATGATGGTAACAAAGAATGATAAACAAATTATACAAGAACATGGAATCTCTATTTTTTGGGCTTTATAATTTAATCTAAATGTGGGATGATCTAATTAAATCTCTAATTTTTAGGCTTTATAATTTAATCACCTTCGTTTAATATCAGTAATAACTAATAATTGATCTCCGATGGCTCTCTTGCTCTTGTACTTGCTTCTCTAAGAAAGCTTCTTCTAGATTGCTTCCCACGTAGACATCCTTCACATAATTGATATGAAGAATTGATAGATGGCAAGCCCTTTACCATTTCTTTCTTGCATAGCAAAAATCAAATCACTAAAATTCACATGCCCAAATCTCAAGTGCCAGAGCCAAGAAGGATCTTTGAAACAAGCCTTCAAACACTTTGTAGCTTCACTTTGATATTCAGCAAAAACATCTTTGTCATTGGAACTTTAGCAATTAACCTATTTTGTTCATCTCTAATTGAGAGACTACAATCAATCAACTGCATATTGTGTCCTTTCTCCAGCAATTGGCCCAAACTCAAAATATTACTCTTCATAGTAGGCACATAATAAATATATGAAATAAATTCATGGCTGCCATCCTTCAAACGAATTAATATTTTACCTTTGCCTTGAACTGAAATCTTCAAATCATCTCCAAAAGTGATCTTGCCACCCAACTTTTCATCAAGGTCAACGAATAAATCTTTATTTCCGCACATATGGTTGCTTGCTCCAGTGTCCAAATACCATAACTCTCCATTCTGTCTAGTTTTTTCTTCACATTTGTAGGCCAACAACAAAGTGGCTTCTTTGTCTGCTTCTGCATAATTGGACTTCCCTCGGACATTTCCACTACCACCTCTACATTCAAATGCTTTATGCCCATAGCCTCCACAGGAATAACATTGGATTTGTGATTTATCATACTTAAAATTTCCTTGCTGATTTGTATTACTCCATCTTCCACGTCCTCTTGACTAATACGAATTTTGTTCTTTTCCTTCATTGTGACTTACTTGAAATCGCCTCTACCACTTCTTCCTCCTTTTCCACCTCTTATTCCTCTGCCACCTCTTCCTCTTCAAAGACCACAACTTGTTCCACTTCTTAAGCTTTCTTCATCATTTAAAGTGAGCTTCGTTTGTAAGACTTTCTCCACAACTGGTTCTTGAGTTTTCTTCCTCAATCTTTCCTCATGAGCTTTCAATGATCCAGAAAGTTGATCAACCGTCATAATGTCTAGGTCTTCTTCAATAGTAACAACAATATACTCAAACTTTGAATATAATGAATGAAGAATCTTCTCAACTATATGGGTGTCACTAATTTCTTCTCCATCTCTTCTCAATTGGTTGACATTGGCTTGAACTCTTGACATATAGTCTGAAATCGATTCGGATTCCTTTTGATGTAGGCTTTCAAACTCCCCTCTAAGGGTTTGGATGTCACACCCTGAATCGGCTCCGCCATATCACGATATTGTCCGCTTTGGGCCCCCCTCTCTGCCCTCACGGTTCTGTTTTTGGGAACTCTCAAGCAACTTCCCAGTGGATCACCCATCCTAGGATTTCTCTAACCCCAAATCGCTTAACTTCGGAGTTCTCATGACTCCGAAACCAGTGAGCTCTCAAAAGGCCTTGTGCTAGATGAAGGCGGACATGTACATATAATGCACATCACCCCCTCTCCATTGATGGATGTGGGATGTTACATTGGAACCCCACCTTCTTTACTTTATCAACTCCTCTATAAAAATTCTGAAAAATCTCTCATGCATTTTTCTATGTTGTCGCATTTGCAATCTTCTCAAATGTGCTGTCATCCAAGGCCTGATAGATGAGGGTGAGTGCCTTCTTGTCTTTCTTCCTTGTTTCCTTCAATGCCTCTCTCTAGGCATTAGTCAAATTTGCTTCATCTCCATGTTCGCCAATTCCTCTCTCTACGACCTCCCATGCATCATAGCAGCCAATCAAAGTCTTCATTCTAACACTCTAATTGTGATAATTATCTTTGGTCAGTAGAGGAACTTGAAATGGAGCCATCGAATTGTTCGCTATCTTCTAAACTTCTTCTTATGGCTCTGATGCCAATTTGTTGGAAGGTGATGGACCCTCACTCATAAAACTCACAATAAACAATATTTGGGAGAAG